CATAACCAGTCAAAAACTCCTTGTAGTGTGTTAAAGGTCCAGGCGTGTTTGTAACATTTAAAGGGGAGGGACTATTGGCAGAAATGTAATAAGATATCCATAGGTATGTTTTCATTAGTGTGTAGTCACCTGAATATAAGACTGTTTGTTATCTAAGATGTTAGACTGCAGTTTCTCCCTCGCAGTAGGAAAGGGGGCGTGAAGTAAGTTACAATCTGCAACTACTCTGCTAGATTTCACTAAATTCTACACACTGGTCCTTTAAGAGATATACAATGTATAAGGTTAGGGTAAGTTATATAAGTAAACGTGTGTGTGTGTGTCTGTGTGTGCGTGTAAGCAGGTGTGGAACTCCTACTTCAGTCTGGCGGTGCTGTACATCAACCAACCCAGTTTACAGCTGGAAAACCTGAGTGCTGCTAAGAGGAAGAAGGTCTTAGACAAGTAAGAACACGCACACACATACACACACACACACACACACACACACAGGGAGTCGTGCAAACATATGGGAATAGTAGAAACCACACATATCTGTCATTCTTTCTCTCACATCCCTACTTACAAATAGCAGAGCACATTACACTTACACACTTGTTGGTGTAGACCAGTGGCTTTCAACCTGGGGTTGGAGGACCCCCAGGGTTCCTTGAAGCAGTTCCAGGGGTTTTTATTTTACTCTTACTGTCTAGAAGTAAGATAATGTGTAATGTGACTCATTTGTCCATAAGTTTCACACTGTTCACGTTCTTCATGTGTCAATATATGATAAAAAAATTATAATTTTATCAGACAGGGATCCCTGAGACTACATCTTATCAAATATGGGTCAGCAGCTGGATGTGTATCAGTTTGGGGGTCCTTGACACCAAAATGTTGAGAACCATTGGTGTAGACAAAATACATCCATACAGACTCCTGCATCATTCCAACAGTCGTCCTCAAACTCGTGCGTCATCTGCAGCTAAAGTGCTGAGAGTCAGAAGTTAAAAGAACACACTTTCCTCTTTGAAGTGAATCAGCGATACAAACTTGGCGACCTACTTTACCAATCCTGCAGGAACACTTCTTTACTCCAGGAAAGCTCATTTCCCTCTCTGTTAGGTGGTTTCCACCAAATAGTCCCAGGAACCAGGACACCCCAGACACTAAACCTCCTCAGGCACTAAGAGTTCCTCCTGTTTCTATTGAGTCTCCACAGCTTAAGAATTGGGCAAATTAGAGCTTGGATTGAGACTGTGATGTCTGAAAAATAAACATTAAAAACACAATGTAGTATAAATATTATATATATTATATTATAAATTATATATTATTTTTCTGCTTTAGTATGTAATCGAATTGTAGGGCTTCAGTCAAACAAAGAAAATGAATCGACTTCAGCTCTTCAACCAATTGACTGGTTGGTGGGAAAAACTAATCTGCAGGTTATTTCTAGGTGAATTTATTACTGAGTGCACTCTACTGCTAGCTGCTGGATGCTAATCAGAGTTACACAACATTGCCAAGATGAATTCCTGTAGTTTGACCATTTCTTTTTCACACATTGCTCTATTGTTACCATCAGGACATGTCTATCAAGTAAATTTACTTACAGCAGCAGCACGGAGCAAAACGGGCTTCTGTACAACAACAAAGCTGATGCTGTGTAAAAGCTCTGCAGCTCCAGAAAAAAGCTACATGGAAAAAACTTCTTTCAACCTACTACTGTTGTTATTAGGTTGGCTATAAATGCAGCTGTCCCTCAATATTACAAATATTAATCCAGTATCCCCTAGCCTGAGGCAGTAACCATTTAGCAACATGCTAAAGCAAAGTTCTGCAGACTAAACAACACAGTTAACACTAAAACAACACAAAACATGGCAAAACGCACAGCTTCCAAGTTTTAAGTTGTCGACTGTGTTTTTACAGTAAAAGACACTGTGATGCAATTAGCATCAGTAGCTTTAGGGTTTGGACTTACTACTTTATTTGTCTGCAGGTACGGAGACATGAGAGTGATGATGACCTACGAACTGTTCAGTATGTGGCAGAACCTCGGTAAGATTTTCTCTACACCTTTCCAAATATGTACCACCAGCAGGTGCTGGTAATGCATCCATAAGCTGGTTTTCCCAACTGCCAATAAAAGTTTAGTTTAAGCTACACATGAGCTACAAAGGTTTTCCAAAGTCTGCTAAATAAAATAATTTATTAGCACACAGAAGACCTGATTTATTGGCTGGTTGACTAAAGATGAAATGTTACATATCTGCTGGTTGTAGGTGAGAATAAGATTCATTTCATCCCCGGTATGATCGGCCCGTTCCTGGGAGTGACGCTGGTTCCTCAGGTGGAAGTACGAAACATCATGATCCCCATCTTCCACGACATGATGGACTGGGAGCAACGCAAGAACGGAAACTTCAAACAGGTACACACACATGTACGCACACAGGGTCTTTACTATGATCCCCAGTTCTTGGGTTACGGGGTTAAGGAACTTGGGATCCTGGGAATATAGATATGCTCCCTACAAACACATCTTTCACACGTCCATCTGTAGATAAAAGCTACTTAAGAAACAGTTCTGGTCACTTATGTAAGACCACAGTAATTATTTATTTCTCTTTGTATGTGCGTACAGGTGGAGGCTGAGCTGATTGACAAGCTGGACAGTTTGGTTTCTGAGGGGAAAGGTGATGAGAACTACAGAGAACTCTTCGGTTTGCTGTAAGGAACATATTCCTTCACAATTTCTCCCTCTGTTTGCCCCTAACTCTAACTCCTTTCTCTCAGTTTTTAAACCAGTGTGTATCTTTCTGTCCTGTCTCTTTCTCTGGTAACAGAAATTAACTCTCAGTTTTTCTGCTCTAACACTGCTGTTGTGTGTTTGCTTTGCTCTGTGCTGCGGGACTAGAACCCAGCTGTTTGGGCCCTACCCCAGGTATGACATCACCTACACATAAGGAGCATATGACAGCTCTCATATTTGCTTTCTAATATTATATAATTTATATCTGTCACCATGATGGTGAATACTGTCTTAAAGAGCTGCAACGGACCACACGGAACACAATTTCATGTTTACTATGTCATCCTTGTGACAGTGTCTGAAGAGTTTCTTTTTAATGTAAATTAATCACTTAACCAACAGACACTTTCATCAATTTGGGCAGTCCAACCAAACTCCATTTACACATTGTAGTGTTATTGTGCATTTCAAGATTAAAGTAAAACTTTTGAGAATAAATTACTAAACTACTAGACTACTAAACTGCCTCTATAAAATGCCTTGAGTTGGTGAAATTGTAGGCCAACTTCAGAATTGCTTTTAGTAAAAAGGAAATTATTTTTCTATTTGTGCATGGACACAGGGTGATAATACTGTATTTGGTATTTGAAAAGATTCTGCCAAAAGTTGTGTCTCCTCAGAAGGAGAAACCGCACATGGAAGACACAAATCGTCCTTCTCTGATTTTTCCCACGATGCTTAGCCCTAATACTCTTCTGTACATTTGTCTTGTTAGAATAGATTAAGCATATTTTAGTTAACAGAATATTTTTAAGAATCCAGTGAAACCAAAGTGTAACCTTTCTATCTTTGAGCTAACCAACCCATGTTTACTCACTGACTTTGACATTTTTTTTTAAATTGCAAACCAGCTTCTAAAATACTCAGATTCTGGTCTGGTAATGTAAAGGTTGCAGGGTTGTTGCATTCGTTCAGACTGTGAATGAAATCTTTGGTTTGTCACTAGTTTGTAAATACTGTACGTCATCTAATCTGTGTTTTTTCCTCAAAGTCTGTTGGAGAAGATCGAGCAGGAGACGTGGAGAGAGACGGGGATCTCCTTTGTTACCTCGGTCACTCGGCTGATGGAACGACTGCTGGACTACCGGTAACATATAGGACCTTCTTACACACACACATAACATATATATGTGCTTTTGTATTTGTATTAAATTGGTACTCATTGTAGTGTGTACGTTTGAAATGGAGAGAAATGAAGAGGCACTCCATCCAGCACTGTATTAGACACCAGTTTAAGCTTTTTATTGGAAACTTGTTTATTACATTGGTTTGTCTTCTCTTTAGGGACTGCATGAAGGGAGATGAAACAGAGAACAAGAAGATTGGCTGCACTGTTAACCTCCTGGTAAGATTTTTGTCATATTGATTCTTATTCACTGACGTATTGATTTTACCATTTAATTAAGTTACAGTTTACTGTAACAACTGCAAACCTTTAGTATTTAGTATCACAATAAACTATTGTAGGTTTGAATCTGCTGAAGATTTGAGACTTTGATTGAAAAGTTTTATATGTGTAAGCAAGAGAAGCAACAATGTGTGTGTTTTTTTTGTATCTTCCCAGAATTTCTACAAATCAGAGATCAACAAGGAGGAGATGTACATCCGCTACATCCACAAACTGTGTGATATGCATCTGCAGGCTGAGAACTACACTGGTACAGAATCAACATGTAAACACACACACACACACATGAATGCACGCTGTGTGGAAGATGTGTGACCTGCTGTACTTGGCTTGTATGTCCACAGAGGCTGCGTTCACTTTGCTGTTATACTGGGAGCTGCTGCACTGGGATGAGCGTCCTCTGAAAGAGTTCCTGCATTATCCTGCTCAGACCGAGTGGCATCGCAAGGAGGGGCTCTGCCGCAAAGTCATCCACTACTTCAACAAGGGAAAGGTAAGAGGACGTCACACAGCTACACACAGACAGCAGTGTTACAGGTGCACGAGTTAGGGATCGTTATTCCTCGTCTTTCAAATGTGTTTAAAGATCCCCTCCAGACATGTATTAAGACATATATACAAACAGTCAGCTTGGATCAATAATGTGTGTCTGATATGTCTTTTTCACAAAAAGTATAGTTTCCACATTAAAATCCTCAGAACGGCATCTACATTAAAAGTCCAGAATCTATTAATATGCAAGATTTTGTTGATTTCTAAAGTTTTCCTCCTGCACACAAGTTCTCTCCTACTTAACTATAAAGTCCATTCTCAGTGTCTGTGCACTGGTAGCTTCAAGTTTCTACATCACACTGTACAAGTTGATACTGGACCAGGATGGACTATTAACACTAAATCAAATCATGAGCCATAGTTCTTTGCTTAAAACGACACTAAGAAAGTCTGTGTGTGTGTGTGTGTGTGTGTGTGTGTGTGTGTGTGTGTGTGTGTGTCCGTCCACCAGTGTTGGGAGTTTGGTATTCCTCTGTGCAGGGAGCTGGCCTTCCAGTATGAATCTCTGTACGACTATCAGAGTCTCAGCTGGATACGGGTGAGCTGCACAACACAAACTGGTTTCTGTTACATCAGTGACTCACAAACCACAAACACCCACAAATTTCACATTACGTTATGACTTAAATGTCTTTCTTTCGTCGTGTCTGTGTTAAGAAAATGGAGGCGGCCTATTATGACAACATCATGGAGCAGCAGCGTCTGGAGCCAGAGTTCTTCAGAGTTGGATTCTACGGCAGGAAATTCCCCTTCTTCCTCAGAGTCAGTAAATCTTTTATTAACACAGATTCATTGTACAGTGTTAGCGTCTTTGAAATACTTACCAATGCAGGTATACCACAAAGTCTTCTCTAATGTAATTGGTCATTCACAAAACACATAATAGCCTTAAAGGGAAAGTTCAGTTTTTTAGAGTGGGGTTGTGTTAGGTACCTATCCAGTCAGTGTATTACCTGTGGCAGACGGCGGTCGGCATACCCGCAGTTTGGAGAAGCGGATGGGATTACCAAAAGAATGTATTTTAGCCACATAAAAAAATTACTACTGTTAGCTTGCCTTAGTTACTGGTAACCAAAAAAGACTAAAATATGTGATCTGAGTTTTTCTATTCAGAGTTAAAAATTGTGTTCTAGGTCTGTAAACTTCTCATTTATCTTCCATTAAATACTTCGACTTCTATAAAAACTGTTTTGTTTTATTTTGATGATCCACACCAGAACAAAGAGTTTGTCTGTCGCGGCCATGACTACGAAAGGCTAGAGGCCTTCCAGCAAAGGATGCTGGGAGAATTCCCGCAAGCTATTGCAATGCAGCACCCCAATCAGCCAGATGAGGCCATTCTGCAGTGTGATGCACAGTGTATCCTTCAGCAAGAGAGAAAGCATCTGTGTGTGTGTGCGTGTCTGTCTGTGTGTGTGTGTTTTGATGTTCCTGCAATGACTGACTGATTGATGTGAATATTAATATCACTCACATCTTCACAAGGAACAGAATGAGAAAACAAATTATTCTACAACATGTCTCATAAATACCACAGTCAGAGCAAACCGGTCTGAGTCTAAATGCTCCATTTGTCCAGTTACTCCTTTGACCTCCTCGCCTCAGACCTCCAGATCTACGCAGTAACACCGGTGCCGGACAGTGTCACCGTCCTCCAGATGGACAGAGTCCCTGATCGCATCAAGAGCTTCTACCGAGTCAACAACGTTCGCCGTTTCCGTTACGACCGACCTTTCCACAAAGGACCCAAAGACAGAGATAATGAGTTCAAGGTGAGTTCAAACACAGACAACAGAGCTGTTAGCAATTTCTGTAGGTTGGAATATTTCTTTCACATCGTTTTGTTTTTAAAATGTTCCTCCTTCTGTTTCTAAAAATTTAGAATTGTGTTCCACAGTTGGATATTTATAAACTGCTCGAAGATGAACTATCATAAAATGGAAATAATATGCAAATGCAAATAAGTGACTTATTATATTCACAAAAGGGTTATATGGTATGAAAATATATTCCAGCCGTAAATAACATTTCATAAACAAATCATTAATAATTTCTATCCAACTCATTGTGACCTTTTTATAACCTGATGCCAAATCATTCACTTCCCAGGTGATTAGATGTTTAATTTCTTTATTTGCACATGTAACAAAACACACAAATAATAATCCATTAAAGATTACACGAAAGATTATCTTGAGTCCAAAACAGACCAAAATAAATGGCCATTGAAAAAATCTCCGCTCCAAAAAATCCTTTGACCCCTGTTCTTTAGAACACAAGTGTAAATTTTATAAAGGTTATATAGTTTTATATGACAAATAACTTAATGATGTTAAAATGCTGCATGAAGCAAGTTAAACATATTTTTAATATAAGACATTTGAGTGGTTCACTGTCTTCCTCTAAGCAAACTGACAGATCTCTGTGAGATAATATTGTTGAGATTAAGCAGCCGCAATCAGTTTGTGGCTCCAGGACAGTTTGTCTTACTGGTGTTTGTGTTGTGTGTTTCAGAGTCTTTGGATAGAGAGGACGACCCTGATCCTCACTCACCCTCTGCCTGGGATTTCACGCTGGTTTGAGGTGGACAAAAGAGAGCTGGTGAGTGAATGTAGAAATAGTTTCATATCCAAAGGAAGATTAATAGCTCAGCAAGATGGATTCTTGCGTGATCTTGTGATTCTGTGATCTTGCAAGTCCAAAATTCTCCAAATTCTCTGCTCTCAATTCTCCACCTCTAGTAATTTACTTCACATTTTCTGTCCTGAACACTCAGAATGTCTTGTAGATGTTGATGTGATGGACATGATGTGTTTTACATAATGCAGTTTGTGTTGAACAAAAAGGAAGAAGAACAGTTTGTACTATAGGATTTGTGGCTGATCCATCAACAGGAAATCTTTCTCATTGCATCTCTTTCTCTGTGTGTTTCATGTATCTTTATTTCTCACTTTGACACCCTTGTCTGTCCCTCAGGTCGAGGTGAGTCCGTTAGAAAATGCCATTTCTGTGGTGGAGAATAAGAACCAGGAGCTGCGAACTCTGATCAGCCAGTACCAACACAAGCAGCTGCATGGCAACATCAACCTGCTCAGCATGACGCTGAATGGAGTCATCGACGCTGCTGTTAACGGAGGCATCGCCAGATACCAAGAGGTCAGACAAAATAGTTAGACATACATTCTGTAGTTCAGGTCGTCAGTCCCTATGAGG